CCCCAAGCCGTCCTTCTGAGATTCATCAGTCTGTTCTCTGCTTCTATGTCTCTGGATCTATTTTGTTCATTAATTTATTTTGTTCTTTAGATTCCACATATGACTGTTTTGAAGATTATTTTAAAATCTGGGAGTTTAGGGGAGGCCTTAGGGGAGATTTTCCATAGAATATTCATCAGCTTTTTTAGGTGTGCCCTTTAAGGGTCTCCACTGATTGGTCAGTGCCAGGGCAGGCAACCGGACCGTTGGTCTTTGCACCTGGTCCTGGCAAGCCCTCTTGGTTTTGGTGCTTTTCTGGGCCTGGAGCTGAAATACAGCTGAGGCCTAGATGTTATCTGTAGGGAGGTGACCTGTATCTGTCTGTAAATTGCTCGGGCAGTTTGTTCAGCTACCTCTCTCAGTTTCCCCATTCTGTTTGCCAAGGAATTTTCCTAGCTGCTTACTATTCTGCCTCAGTGTCACTGTTTTTAGTATTTCTTGTTCTACAGACAGTCTTTTTACTCCCTACTCCTTATTGTGTGAGAGGAAGATATTAATACTTTTGTGTCTTCTTTTAAGCTATGCTCTTTCTGTATCCTAACTTCTATCATCCAGACTTTTAAATTATATTTGTGTTTTACATCACAGATAGATATAACTTTGATTTCATAATCATAATTAAGTTCTTCAGGTTTTGATTGGTTCTAAAAGCTGAAAATCAGGAAATAGTGTTTACATTACTACGTCTGTATCAAAAGTGTCAGACTTCAGCAGTGTGCTGGTGGTGTGAGCGGGAGCTGACAGTGGCCCTGCGCTGGCCCTTATGTTGTTTACTTTTTCACAGCATGTGAGGACTGTTAGCTCAAAGCCTACCTGCACCAAATTCAAATTCTTACACATCCATTTGCTTTACGTATAGCCAATAATTACATTTTTAGCCATTTAGAGCCCATCTTGTTTGCATATCCCACTAAAAACTGCTAGCCATAGATGAGACAAATGTCTCTATCTTGTAGCTATAAATGCCCCCAAACCCATACTACCCTTCAGAACTCTCTGACCCAGAGATTCCTCCCTTGCTGCTGAGTACCATTGCCTTGATACATAAACCCCCTCTCTGATTCCTCTCTCTTCCAGCAGTTCCCATGTCCTTTTCCCCTTCTTGGTGGAGCTTCTGTGCCATTTGTCTCTGGTTATTCTCCTGCTGTGAGGGACTTCCTCTCATGAAACCCTGTTCAAACACCTCTCAATACAGCTCATTGTGCAATACTTCTCTCTGTCTTTTTCCTGATCAACCCCAAAATCTGAAATCCTTGAACTCACAACTGGGGTTACATTTCCTTTCCATATCGTCTTTTGTTTTTCCTAGAGCTCTTGGCTCCCCCTCCTCCAGTGTCTTGCACAGCACCACACACATCCCTTTAAATTACCAGCCTTTGTGTTCTCCTTAAGTTCTTTCAAATTCTCAAGGGTTATATGAAATGATTCTTCTATTTCAATGGGAACTGTTTGCTCTCCAAGCTGCTGTACAGCTTTTATTTTGGGACTTCCATTATTCTGTTGCTTGCCAGGATTCTGTGTCTTCTTCCCATATTTTCCTTTCTTTGCTTTTGTTTTTTTCTGATATATACTCAAGTAACTGCCTGAAAAAAGTGTATGGGAGGTAAATTACTTGAATCCTTGGATGCCTTAAAATGGTATACTCTTCTGTTTTCTTGATAATTGAGCCGAGAATAGAATTTTAGGTTGAAAATCATTTCCCCTTAAGTTGAAGATAGTAATTCATTTGTTTTTGCATCCAGGTGTCCCTGCTAGGGACTCTCTGAGAGACGAGTGGAACACTTTTATATTTGCCCATTGCTGGATGAGGGAGCTCTGGGGTATTTATTTACTCAGTCCTTCAGTTTTAATTCTCTGACACTTCCAGCTTGCCCTGTGGGCTAATGGGATAGCTTCATAGCCAGAAAATGCTCTAGGTGGAGAGATAAAGAAAGCATCTTTTGTACCACCTCATAGATTGCTGTGAGAATGAATTGCATTAATACATGTAAAACATTTAGAAGAGTGCCTGATACTTAGTAGGCATTATGTAAGTATTGGTTACACTTAAATAAGTGCCAGATCCTCCCCCTCCTTGGCCTAGTACAATTATTAACAGGTCTTGTAAACAAGCTATGTTTTACAATTATATTTTACTTAAGTTATATTTAAAAATTAGTGAGAGTTGCATTGTTTTGACATTTACAGTTCATAGAGGTAGTATTCAAATGTGGTAGGTTATTTAGGATTTTAGTACAAATGGGAGAGTTGGAAAGTGGGTCATAAAATGAGGTTTAAAAAACTTTTTTTAAAAATTAAAGATGTATTTTCTCAAACCAAAATTGCTATAGAAAATAGAGTTGAAGACCCTAATCAATAATTTGTTTTTCTTTATGCCTTTTAAAAGTATAGTCTTTCCTCTATCCAGTTCCTGTGTTGCTGCCTTGACACTAGGCCTAGAGAATCATTTACACCATAGTTGGGGGCCTATGAAATATTTAAATGGATTTTTTCAATTTTTTTCCTTAATATTTTTAAAAAATCTTCACCTGAGGATATGTTTTTATTGATTTTAGAGAGAGGAAGTGAAAGAGTGAGTGAAAGAGAGAAAGATGGATGAGAGAGAAACATCGATCAGTTGCCTCCCGTCGCACCCAGACTGGGGGTTGAACCCCCAACCTTTTGGTAGACGGGATGACACTCCAACCATCTTAACCACCCAGCCAGGGCTCCTTAACATTTGTAATGCCTGATAAATGTGCAGCATCAATTTTGCTAGAGGTGATTGCTTTTGAAATTTTTTTCCTGTTATCTTAACTATTTTTTAAATTGGAGGCCTTTTTGATGGGCAGTGCAGGTTGTGTTTATTTTACCCTTACCAGTTTTCAGTTCACAAGTTAGATGATTAATGTGCTTGAAGTAACAACATTTTTTTTTTTAATTTAGAGGACATTTTTTTGAAATCTGGCTGCTGTTCTCATATTGTTTCAGGCCCAAGATAACCAGACTGGATTTTAAGAAGACCAAATTAACCCTGGTGGTGGTGGAAGATGATGACCAGGTGGGAGCTGAACTGCGGTACTTACTTAACAGTGGCTGCTATGCAGTAACTCAAATCTCTGAACGGGGGAAATGTGCCTTGTTGTTTTATAGAGCCACAGAACTTAGTGTAACTGATAATTTAATTAAATAATTTTTCACTTCAGGTTGTACCATTCTCAAAATATGGTTGTTCTGCCATTAAGATTAAAGACAAAATAAAAGACTATTCTTGTTCATTGATGCTATGTCTCATGTGCACGCATATTACATTTAAATGACTTTATCCCTTTAGTACCTGATCAAAAAGATTAATCAAAAAGCTCTACCTAGTAATATTTTAAAATAAAGCCTTCTAAATTGACAATTACCTTTTTTCCCCTCCCAGTTAAATCTGGTTCCTAATTGATACACATAGTAACTTGGGTACAACTCAAATGCTGAGTGAAAGAGGCCAGGCTCAAAAGATCATGACTATATGAGTATGTTTATTTTTAAATATATCTTTATTGTTGAAAGTATTACAGAGGTCCCCTGTTTTCCCCCCTTGATCCCCTCCACCTCGAATCCACCTCCCCCCCTCCCCAGGCCTTCTCCACACTATTGTCTGTGTCCATGGGTTATGCATATATGCAGATATTAGTTTATTTTATATGGCAACCTGATTGATTGAGACTAGGTATAGTGAGGAGGCTTTACTACAAAGGAATAGCATAGGGGATTTTGTGGAATGAGAAATCTATTCTGTATCCTGATTTTGGTGGTGGTTGCTATACTTGTGCCAGTCGTTTTCAACCTTTTCCATCTCACGGCACATAAGCTAATTACTAAAATTCTGCGGCACACCAGAAAATACATCCTTTGCCAATCTGACCCAGAAAAATAGGTGTAATTCTGATTCATTCTCACTGGATAGCTATTGTTGTATTGGCTGTTGTCATTTTTTTTTTTTTTTTTTATAGTGTAAGGAAAAAGAGATCAGTGCCCCTGACTGACTAAATAGTTGGGTATTGAATGTTTTAAAAATTCTGTGGCACACCAGTTGAAAATTGCTGCTCTATGCATTTGTCAAAACTTACAGAATTGTGAATAAGTAAAAGTAATTTTAATGCATACAAAGAAATAAATTTGAAAAACACATATACATATAGGTAGGTATAGATAAAAACAAATTGGACAGAATGTTAAAAGGATTTGTATATACAATGAAGTGTGAGAAGGACTACTTAGTAGGACCTAAAAAGAGAAGATTCTGAAAATTAGATGAAAGAGTGCTAAATTTTGAAAGTTTTATTACTGAAATACATGCAAAGGATTGCCCTGTCACACAACCTGGAAGAAAATCATAGAGACAATAATAATAGATCATTTAAAAAAGAAATCTCTTGATGGCACAGAGGGTGATTCTTTTATCATCAACAAATGTGCTGAAAATGATTCAGAAGAGGCGGATATTGCATTTAAAAAGAATGTTTTACCAGTATTTTCCTTTTTATGGAAGCATATGTGTGATTAAATGATATTTGAATGTAAATCTAAAGGTAGTCCTTCAAAAATTAAATACAATTCTATGTGATAAGAAAATATGGTCATAATTTAATTGGTGACACACTTGTTATTGGGCCATAAAATAATTCTACATCTTACAGTTGATGGCATTTTAGATTTGATCTGATACGTAATACAGCATTAGCTTCTTGGATATCTTTTTTAAGGTATTTTGTACATATATGCAAGCAAACGTGTGTATCAGTTGTTTTTTTTTTTTTTTTTTAAAAGGGCATGTGCCCTGACTGGGAATTGAACCAGTGACCTCTTGGTGCATGGGACGACTCTCAATCCACTTAGCCACACTGGCCAGGCTCAGTTCTTTTTCATATAAGTCTGCATGCTTATATACTATTCTTTACTTATCCTTTTTAAACTGTACATTATAACTTGGAATCTTTTTCATGTCAGTAGATTAAGTGCTTCTTCGTTCTTATTAAGAAACACAAACTAAAACTGCATAGTATTCTAGGACGTACCCTAATTATTTAATCAGTTCTTAATTAGTGGACATTTATTCACTCTGTAGACATTAATTTGTACAGTGGCATGCATCTGTAGGGTAATTTTCTGGAGGTGGACTTGCTGGTCCAAACAGTTAGGTGCATTTGTTATGGATATGGAGAGAGCCTATTAAGTTGAGCTATTTATCTGTGTACAGACTTTTTTTCTGGGAGTTATCACATTTTTATCTAAAAGGTAAAAAACAGAATTTCATTGTAGGTTTAATTTTTATTTTTTATGAGTGATAGTGAACATCTTTTCATACGTCTGAGTTATTTGTATTTCCTTTTCTCCGAATGTCTATTTATATCATTTGCCCATTTTTCTTTTGGGTTTTTGGCCTTTTAGCCTTTTTTCTTACAGGTTTTGCCCTTTGTCATAGAAATTGTAAATATTTTATCTAATTGTTGTTTGTCTTTTAGCACTGCTTATTGTGATTTTTGCCATTTATTTAAAAAAATTTAAATAGGTGAATTTGTCAGTCATTTATGGCTTATGGGTTTTGTGTCATAGAAAGGTTCTCCTACTCTGAGTTTATACATTTTCCCTTTTTTTTTTCCCTGTGTGTAGTTTTTGTTGGTAAATTTCATTGACATATAACATACATTCAGATAAGTGCAAATATAAATGTACAGTTTTTTGAATTTTCACATATATCTGTATGACCAGCATCCAGATGAGGAAATAGAATAGTACCAGAATAGAATCTTCTTTGTGCCCCATACCAGGTACAGTCTCTCAAGGATAACCACTCTCCTGACTCTAACCCCACAGATTAGTTTTTGCTTATATTTTCAGTTTATGAAACGTGACTCAATGTTTTCTTTGTGACTGGCTTCTTTATTTCAACATTGTATTTGTGAGCCTTAGCCCTGTTGCAGTGAGTAGTTTTAGCTGGCTTATTGTTATATTGTATATAATATATATTGTTATATAGTATGTAGTATTCCATTTTATGAGTAGACCACACTTATTTATCCACCATAGACATTTGAATTGTTTTTCATTTTCGGCTGTTAAGGAGAGTGCTGCTCTGAACACCAGGCTCTGTGTGTGTTCGGTTTTGGTGGATACTGCCAAACCGTTTTCCAAAGTGTTGATTGATATGTTTACACTCCCACCTGCAGTGTTACAAGAGCTTTGTTTCATTTTGCTGATGTTTGTTATTTTTTTTTCATTTTAGCCATTCTGATAGTAGAATCATTTTTAATTTGCATTTTCCTGATGACTGTATATATAGAACTTATTTACATATTTATTGGATATTCTCTTTCATGAAGTGCCTGTTCAAGTGTTTTGTTCATTTTCTGTTAGGTCATTGAAGAAGCTCTTTATATATATTCTAGATGTTAGTTCTTTGTCATACGTATGTTGCAAGTATCTTCTGCTCCCTGGCTTGCCTTTTCTCTCCGTAGTACTATCTTTTGGATTAATAGAGGGTTTCAATTTTAATGTGATACAATTTCTAAATTTTTTCCTTTGTGGTCAGTACTTTTTGTGTCTTAAAATTTAAGAATCTTTGCCTGTACACAAGGTCATGAAGAACCTACATATAGAGTTTATAAAATATTTTAAAATGACAAAATAGTTTAAGTTACAAAATATTTAAATATACTGAAAAGTACAAAGAAATTATAAAATTGATATCCAGTTCACTCATTTAGATTTAACATTTTTGGCATTTTTTCTTCAGAATTATCATTTAGAAATAGATAAATTAAAAAGTATATTTGATACAGCTAAGGCCTAACCCCCCAGCATGCCCTTTCCTTTCCCGTAGCTGGTCACCATTCTTGGAGGGCATCATCCTCTTCTAACTTTTTCCATACATAAACACATGGTAGAATTGTTTTTAAAATTTACATAAATCATACATATCTATGTTTTTTTTTTGGCAGCTTGCTTATTTTACCCAAACAGGTGTAGCCATGTAGATCTAGTTCATTTTAATCTCTATATAATATTCTGTAATATGAATAAGCAATAGTACATTCATCATTTATTCATAAATATTTCTTTTGTTTTGGACAGTTAGGGGTTTTTTTTTTGGCCAGTTTTTACTCTTATAAATGAGACTGAAGAAAATATTTGGGTACGAATTTTGTTGTTTAGAAAATCTGGAGAGACAGTATAGCTTAGATACTACAAACGGGCTGTGGAACCTGAATGGCTAGGTTCAAATTCTAATTTCCTCTCTTACTAGCGTTGTGACCTTGGACTTAATTTTGAGTCTCAGTTTTCTTATCTGTGAAATAGGGCTAATGGTAATATCTGCTCATTGAAGTAATTCACATAAAATTCATAGGAAAGTGCCTATGAATGTTAACTATTATAATTACATTCCTGCAAGTATGGTTACTATAACAAAGAATGTGGACATTTTTAAGTCTGTTGATAAATATTGCCAGGTTTTGTCTGATCCTTTAAATTATATTACACATTTATCCCAAAGTATGGCAGATAAACCCTCATTTTATATACCTGTGAGAAATGAGATCACATAGTAGAGAGGACCCTCTTAGGAATAATTTTATATTGGCTGAGAAAATGGACAGCTTGATTTCAGCTCTTCCTTTTTACATAGGTAGCTATAAAGAGTTTCTGAGCTTCAGGGAGCAAACTGGATCCTTTATTTGATTCTTGGTATTGCTGGGGTTGTATTCATAGCTGACAGGAATGTTTGACCTAATAATTAACTCTCTTTGCATCCTTTTGTTTTTCAGGGCAAAGAGCAGGAACATACATTTGTCTTTAGACTGGAACATCCAAAAGCATGCAAACATTTATGGAAGTGTGCTGTGGAGCACCACGCCTTTTTCCGCCTCCGTGGCCCTGTCCAGAAGGGTTCTCAGCGATCAGGATTTATTCGACTAGGATCACGATTTAGATATAGGTCGGTGTTAATAGCTGCCTGCTATAGCTTTCATAGAGGCCAAAAAATTTAGGCCAACCCCTTATTTTACAGATGTGGTAATTAGGGCACAGGGAAATAAAGTGGCTTGCCAGTGTTTTCCATTAGTTACAATAAAAGTGGTATTGTTATTGATTGTAATTTCCAGAATAGACAGGGAACATAATGGTGTAATGGATTTTTATATTCCTGTTGACATTTACTTTATATCTTTTTTGTTGTAGTAGTTTTGTTAACCTTCACCCGAGGATATTTTTTTCCGTTGCTTTTCAGAGAGAGTGGAAGGGAGGGAGAGGGAGGGAGAGAGAGAGACACATCAACTGGCTGCCTCCCACACTCACCCCAAGTGGAGGTGGGGAGCAAACCACAACCCAGGTACCTCCCCTTGACCGAGAATCGAACCCATGACCCTTTGGTGCACAGGCTGATGCTCCAGTCACTGAGCCACACAGCCAGAGCTACTTTATATCTTAATTAGCCCCCGATGTAAATCCGTATAACAAGAGCTTTAAGGCATCTTAATCTAGCAGCTGAATACCATATAGAGAAAAGAAATTAATTTGGATAACATTTCTTGTCCTTTATAAACTGGAAGTTTCCTTATTCTTAGAGATTGCTTGCTTGTTGTTTGTAAGTAGGAATGTTTTGGTTTACCTGAGAGTAGATTATTGATTGTGAGTTTTCAACATGCCATGAAAATCAGTCAGTGTGATTTGGAGAAGGAATGTAAATTGTGGCAAGATAATTTTGTGAGATTCATTAAGAGAGCTTCTATCTATATTAAAAGTGGGGAGGCATTTTCTTAATTTAAATGGAAATCTAGAGTGGGATAATAGTTTTAAATATTTCTGGAAAATTATTCTGAAAACTATATCACAATTAGAAAAAGTAACTGAAAATCTCGAGTTAATTGCACATTTTTCATTGAGTATGAATGGGGAGGGGAAGGGAGTTCTGTAAAAGCACAGGTATCTCTAACTTACTATGTTCTTAGGGATGTGCCCGCATAAGAAAAGACAGTATAATTTGTGTATTGCATATTTTACACAAGCGTCAGAGAAAAAGAATGACGTGGTAAAGAGACATCAAGGCTGTTGCCAGAAGCAGTTTCCTCAGGATGAAATTGAGGGTGGCTAAAGAAGAACCCCAGTGTAGACTTTCTCTCCTTCATGTGTATCTGATTCCTGCAGGTCTTACATTCTCTTATTCCTATTAATGTGTCTTACTTATTTTAGTGGGAAAACTGAGTATCAGACCACAAAAACCAATAAGGCAAGAAGATCGACATCCTTTGAAAGAAGGCCCAGCAAACGGTATTCTCGACGAACTCTCCAGATGAAAGGTGAAATGCAGCCCTGTTTCAAAGGACTGTTGTTTTTTTCCCTAATGCTCACCCTGGGATATTTTTCCATTGCTTTTCAGAGAGAGTGGAAGAGAGAGAGAAACATTACTGTGAGAGAGACACATGTCGATTGGTTGCCTCCCACACGCACCCCAACTGGGACCAGGGGTCGAGCCCACAGCTCAGGTACGTGCCCTTGACCAGAATCAAACCTGAGACCCTTCAGTTCATGGTCGACGCTCTACCCACTGGGCCACACTGCTAGGGCAGGGCTGTTCATTCTTGACGGTTCACCATTTTGCTGCACTTGCTCAAAAGGGTCAAGTCTGACTCCTAGGTTTGTTGGGTCAGCTGAAGTACTCTTATTTGTTGAATTTGGTGCAGGCACAGTTGGTTAATAAAATTACAAAGGGAAAAGCGCACATGTGATTGCTGAGGTTAAACTTTATGTTAATCCCAACTTAAACACCATGCTGAGTTTGTGTTCAGTTTTTGTTCATATTAACTATTTTAGTTATTCTGCAGAGCAACATTTTCCCTTCCCTTTTTGACTTTTAGATCTCACTCATAATAATCTTTAAAATCCCCTTAGGAACTTTTAAAAGCATTGATAAATGATGAATAATTTTTAAGTAAAAATTACTTCATGTGGTATTATAATATTATTAAGGATTCTGTGAAATAACAGTTTTTAAATTTAATCATCAGTGTATATACATAGACATTTGCAAATTCATAAATGTTACTTCCTGTAAGTTACTTTAATTATATAATAAAAAGCATGGTTTACTTTGACAAATCAACTAAAACTCATGTTTGGTTTCAAATCTAAGTTTGTATTAAAGTACAGATTGAGCCCTGGCTGGTGTGGCTCAGTTGGTTGAGTGTTGCCCTGTGCACCAAGAGGTGACCAGTTTGATTCCCCATCGGCACATACCCAGGTTGCAGGCTCGATCCCCAGTGGGAGATGTGCAAGGGGAGCTGATCAATGTTTCTCTCTCAAATCGATAAAAACATACTTAAAAAAATAAGATAAAATACAGATTGAATTTTACTTATGTTCAGTATCAGGGGCATCACCAATTGTCCAGAAACAACCACCATGACTTAATGTTTGGCAGTGTCAGTTTTTTAAAAATTGACTTATATTCTTAATGTTTGGAATGGCTATACATTAATATATAGTTATTAATGAAGGCATTTCAACTTGTGATGGTGTAAAACTCTAAGTTACCTTTTATTTTGAACTGACAACGCTCCATTGTCACTCAGCTCACTCTAGGAGGCTTGCTGATGGTATTGTTTTAAAAGAAGAGATGTATGCTTATTTTATTACTTTATTTTTAAAAATGGAAGTAATTGTCATGTTGACTTTAATGATGTGAACCCTAGACCACTTTTATGAAATGAAGGTTTTTAAATCTATGGTTGGAAACATGGCTTACAGAGCAATTAGTCTAGTTTTATGAGTAGTGTTGCAGTTTATCGTGTAAGAGGAAACTCATGGGACTTTTTTTTTTTTTTCCTGTCAGCAGCTACAGCAAAACCTGAAGAACTCAGGTGGGTAATATCTTGCAACTAAGGAATTGACATAGAATTTTTAAGAATTTATGTAGTTGCTGTCATTAATTGAACAAGTTATTTGTTGATGATCTGTCAGTGTTAAGTTGTCTCTAAGCATTTGGGAACAAACACACACACAATGCCAGATAAAATTGACACAAAAAATAAATCAGTTCAAAGAAATGAAGAGTGGGATGGGTATGGATATGCTGTCTTTGAGAATGACATATGTTTGTTATTGGCTTGTGACTGAGGATTTAAAGATGAATAAATTGTGGTCCTTGCAATGGACTCAAAGAAGAAAGGTTGATTTGCAGATAATCATTTTATTCGTGGACTAAATTCCACTTTGTCAGGGTGTATAATTCTTTATATTACATGTTGCTGAATCTGATCCACTCATATTTTGTTGTGGGTGTGTGTGTCTCTATATTCATCCAAGATACTGGTCTGTGGTTTTCTTGTAATGTCTTCATCTGGTTTTGGTATCAGGGTAATACTGGCTTCACAGAATGAGTTGGGAAATGTTTCCTCTTCTCTTCTTTTAGGGAAGAGTTTGTAAAGAGTTGGTATTCTTTAAAATGAGGTAGAATCACCATTAAAGCCACCTTGCCTGGACTTTCTCTTTGTGTGAAGTTTTAAGATTTCTAATTCAATCTCTTGTTATTGGTCTGTTCAGATTTCATTTTGAGGCAGTTTGGAAGTTTGTGTTTTTCTAGAATTTGTCCATTTCATTTAAGTTAAGTAATTTGTGGCATACAGTTGTTCATATTATTCCTTTTTCCTTTTTATTACTATAAGGGTGGTAGTGTTAACCCCCTTCATTCATTTTTTTAAATCGTCACCTGAGGATATGTTTTTATTGATTCTTAGAGAGAAGAAGGAGGGGGAGGGAGAGAGAAATATCGTTGTGAGAGGGAAACATCAATTGCTTGCCTCCCATACACGCCCCAACTGGGGATTGAATCCACAACCTAGGAGTGTGCTCTGATTGGGAGTTGAACCCGAAACCTTTTGGTGTGCGGGACGATGTTCCAACCATCTGAGCCACCCAGCCAGGGTGCTCTTACTCATTTTTAATTTTAGTAATTTGAGTTTCTCTTTTTTTAAATTCATTAGCATTTGTAAAGTTTGCCAATTTTGTTGGCCTTTTCGAAGAACAGCTTTTGGTTTCATCAATTTGTCTCATAAATTTTCACTCTGATACATTATTTCATTTCCTCTGCTTGCTTTAGGTTTAATTGGCTCCTCTTTTTCTGATATCTTTAAGGCAGAAGATTAGATTTTTGATAGGGAATATTATCCTTTTTTGTTGTTGTTAATCCTCACCCAAGGATATTTTTCCATTGATTTTTAGAAAGAGTGGAAGAGAGAGAGGGTGGGGGGAAAATGTCGACACGAGAGAAACACAGTGATTGGTTACTTCCCAAAGGAGCCCCAACCAGGGCCTGCATCCTAGATACATGCCCTTGACCAGGAATCGAACCTGCAAACTTCCAGTGTGTGGGCTGATGCTCAGACCACTGACGCAACCAGCCAGGGCAAGATCTTTATTCTTTTTTTTAATTTTTATAATTTTTATTTTTGTTTAAAGTATTACAGATGTCCCTTTTTCTTCCCAGTGACCCATTCCCTCCCCCTTCATTCATTCCTTCCCCCTCCCCAGTCACTCTCCCCACCATTGACCATGTCCTTGGGTTGTGCATATATACATATAAATTCTTTGGTTACTCTCTCCCCNTCCCCCTCCCCAGTCCCTCTCCCCACCATTGTCCGTGTCCTTGGGTTGTGCATATATACATATAAATTCTTTGGTTACTCTCTCCCCCTCCACCCCCTCTCCCTGTGCTTCTCAACTGTGCTTCCATGTCATTGAATCTATTCTGCTCGTCAGTTTATTAAGTTCTTTAGATTCCATGTATAAGCGAGATCATGTGATATTTTTCTTTCGCTGCCTGCCTTATTTCACTTAGCATAATATTCTCCAGGACCATCCATACTGTCCCAAAGGGTACGAGATTCTTCTTCTTTACAGCTACATAGTATTCCATGGTGTAAATGTCCCACAGCTTTTTATTCCACTCATCTACTGATGGGCACTTGGGCTGTTTCCAGATCTTAGCTATTGTAAACTGTGCTGCTATGAACATCGGGGTGCATATATCCTTTCTGATGAATGTTTCAGGATTCTTAGGATACATTCCTAGGAGTGGGATCACTGGGTCAAATCGGCAGCTCCATTTTTAATTTTTTGAGGAACCTCCATACTGTTTTCCATAGTGGCTGCACCAGTCTGCATTCCCACCAGCAGTGTACTAGGGTTCCCCTTTCTCCACACCCTCGCCATATTCTTTTTTTAATATAACATTTATAGCTGTAAATTTTCCTACAGGCACTGCTTTAATCACATTCCATAAGTTTTTGTATGTTATAGTTTCATTTTTATTTGTCCCAAATTATTTTCTAATTTTGGTTGTGATTTCTTCTTTGATCCATTGGTTATTTGAGAGGTGTTACTTGATTTCTACATATTTGTGAATATCTTCATTTTTTTTTTTTTTTTGGTAATTTTATTCCATTCTGGTTAGAGAATATGATTTATATATATGATTTTGATCCCTTTAAATTTATTGGGACTTGTTTTATGGCCTAGCATATGATTTTTTTTAGAAAATGGTCCATCTGAACTTGAGAAGAATATAGATTCTGCTGTTGTTGAGTATATAATGTTCTATGATGTCTGTTAGGTCTAGTGGGTTTATACTGTTGATCAAGATTTCTACTTCATTGTTGATCTTTTGCCTAGTTCTATTCAGTATTAAGACTAGGGTATGAAGTATTTATTATTGTTTTCAATTCTCTATTCCTCTCTCCAGTTCTTTCAGTTTTTGCTTCATGTATTTTGGGGCTTTTTGTTAGGTGCATATATATTTATAATTGTTTGGTTCTTTTATGATGATAAAATGCCCCTCTTTTACTTGAGTAACTTTTTTGTTTTAAAGTCTATTTTGTCTGATATAAGTATTCCCAGTCCAGTTCTCTTCTGGTTGCTTTCTATGATATATTGTTTTCATCAAATTTGGGAAGTTTTCAGCCATTATTTCTTCAAATTATTATTTTGCTCTTTCCTCCTGAGTCTCCCATTATACATATGTTGCTACACTTGACGGTGTTCTACAGGTCTTCAAGTCTTTGTTCATTTTCCTTCATTCTTTTTCTTTCTGTAGCTCAGACTAGATAATCTTACTTGACCTATATTCAAGTTACTTATTCTTCCACCTGCTCAAATCTGTTGTTGTTTTCCTAGTGAATTTTCTTTTTAGTTATTGTGCATTTCAACTCCAGAATTCGTTTGGTTCTTTTTCTAATTTTTCCTTTTAATGATATTCTCTTATTTGTGGAGACATTGTTCTCATACTTTCCTTTATTTTTTTAGTTCTTGAATGTATTTGAAATAACTGATTTAAAGTCTGCATTGCTGGGAGAGAGTTCATTTTCTTGGCTGCACCAACCTGGAGTAGGGCCTCCACAACACTGAACTTGGGAGAATAGGGAAGGGGAGCAAATTGTGGCTCAAATGCCAGACTTGGCTCTTGAGAAATGGAAGATTTTCTTGAATAAATGTTTCTCCACTTGATGTATGCCTTTTGATGATTAAAAAAAAAAAAATAACTGTCACCAGCTAAATCTTTGTTTTCCTGGGGAGAGGGTCCTCAGACCACCATTCCGGAAGTCCTACATCTGATGAAGCAATAAATTTTAATAGTATATATTACATTGTATAGTTTCATACAATGCTTCTCAACCTTGGTATGTATCAAAGTTTCTTGGAATGCCTGTTACGTATCAGATTTTGGACATTAAAATTTCTTCCTTTTTAAAATTTGTCTATACTGAGTATGTTCAGACTCACCTTGAGATGTCCTATTTAAGTTTTGTTTTGTTTTTTTACCTAGAAAGCCATTAAAGCCAGGCTATGATTAGTGGTTCACCACAAAAGCATCTGCTTTTTGAAAGGTACCCCTGAAGTTTCTTTAGCTGTTGGTTATTTTATTTTCCTTGGAGTTATATATAACCTCTGTTGTTGAGATAATGGTGGAGAAATGTTAGAGGTGTTCTGTATTTTTTTTAACTGTTTTGTTTGTTTGATGGATCATGTCTTGCTTTCCTGAAAGGGACACTAGGACAGGATATTAGATCTTAACACAATCTGGTGAAGTTAGCAGAAATATAAACAAAGTATTTAAGCAGTGATATGTAGTTGAAAAATTAAGACTTTTATTATGTAAGAATTTGTCATCCTTTAAAAAACGTTTGAAATACACATTTCTGACTGAAAAGTAAGTGACTATATAGTCTCTTTCCTAAAGTTAAAATTAATTTAACGTTAATTAATTTTTTTTCTCTTCTTGAGTAATGCTTTGGCTTTGGAAAACACATTAGAAATGGGATATTTAAGTGATGATACTTTATTATTTTTTTATTAGAATAAACTTTTAGAAATAAAATGAAATTGGATGAGAGGGACGAAAACCCAGCTCTCCTCACTGAAGGTTATTGAGCATTACTCATAATGGTGCTTGAGAGCCTGAGCTTGGATCGGCATGAATGCCCTTTCAGTCTTGCCCTTTCGTTCTGTTTGCATGAACAGTTTTGCTCCATTGAACCATGGAAAACAGTACTGTTTGAAAAAGCACAACTATTTGATCTGAAAAGCTTCTTGACCTTGTACTGTGCCAGTTTGAATAACAAGTTTTTAAATTGGCTGATGTCAGTCATTTTCCTTGTACTATTTTGTCTCCTCCTAACTATTTTCTTGTGAGTCTTGACTGATAATATAAAGTATCTTAAGAAGAGGTGACATTTTAAAGGATAGTTCACATTTTTGTACAGGCTAAGCAGATAGAATTTTGCAGACGGAAAAGACAGGAAAAGAAGAAATGGAGGAAATGATGAGTAGAAGTGGAATAAAAGCAAAAGAGATCAGTTATTGCAGGTAACCCCTTAAAAGGGGAAGTGTCCCTTCCTACTTTCATATTAGTGGAGGTGAAAGAATATGTGTAATTATGAGGAAATAGTACTTTGTACATTTCAGATTGTTTGAAAACAAGGAGCTCTGATCCAGTTAACATCATTTAAGTACTTTTTTTCTCATGTCATTATTCGTCTTTTATCCATCACTTTCTGGGGTCATTCCCAGTGTAAGGAGAAGCTCCAGTAACCTAGGGGATCATAGAGTAGTGAGTCTAATTTCTATACCAAGAAGGTTGAATCAGATTTCATTAATATTTAGGATTATGAGTTACTTAAACCAGCATGTAATGTACTCTGAGAAGAGCAACATTATTAGTAAAAAGAACTCGTGTTTGACAGGTATATTTTTTACATTTGCCTTGGCAATAAATCTACACTAAACTATATATATATATATACATATATATATATACACACACGCACATATATATACACACACAAATNATTAGTAAAAAGAACTCGTGTTTGACAGGTATATTTTTTACATTTGCCTTGGCAATAAATCTACACTAAACTATATATATATATATACATATATATATATACACACACGCACATATACACACAAAAATATATATATATACATACATATATTTGTGTATATACACACAGACACACACATACATACATATTTTGGGGGGGTCATTTTTATTTATCATTGTTCTTTGTACTTTGTTAGGAATATTAATTAATATTAGCAGTCTCATGCAAACGAGGAACCTAAGGTTCTGTGAGCAGAGCCAGTGCCACAGCTTGGATTTGAACCCAGGCAATGGTAGTGCAAGTTCTGGTGACTTGTAATAGAGATGTAGTTAATTTAAAAATAGCGTGGAATAGCCCTGGCTGAGTGGCTCAGCTGGTCAAAGCATTGTTCCATACACCAGAAGGTTGCGGGTTCAGTTCCAGGTCAGGGCATATGCCTAGGTTGTGGGTTCAATCCCCGGTCAGGATGCATACGGGAGCAACCAATGGATGCTTTTTTCTCTCTCTCCCTCCCCTTTCCTCTCTCTAAAATTAATAAAAACATATCCTCAGGTGATGATTTTTAAAAAAATAACATAAAATGGTTTCCCTCACTGCCCAGCCTTTTAGCAAAACTTCATCATTTGTGAGTCCTTTTTTAATTGGTTGTCTTTCATCATCATACAGTTTTTGTTTTGCTCTTACTCTTCTAAGAAAGTCTCCTGGATATTGCATTCAGAGTTTGTTTGTTTTTGAGAAGCTTTGCCTATTTCCTTTTATTAGAATGATATCTTGGTTGGGTATAATATTCTTTAGTATTGCTATGGAAAAATCTGTGCCCACTTGATACTAACAATAATTGACTTTTAACTCTCCTTGGAGTACCTGAAATATTCTTTACTTGTCCTTGGAGGTCAGTAATTTAACAATAAGGGGCTGAATGTATTTAATTCTATATCTCATTTTTCTGGAACACAGTGCTCTCATTAAATCTTTACATTAGTTTCTCACTTTCAAGAAACTGTTAAAATAACCTAGAATAAATTTTTTAGTTGAATTCTTTATTTCCGAATACTAATTATGCTTATGTTAGAAGATCTGAAGTCAGTATACTCTTTTCCGCTCATTTTATTGTGGTATTATTTCCTCTTTGAGTTCTTATTTATTGGTGTTCTTTTTTTTTTTTTAGCCATCCTGAGGTTTTTTTAATATTTACTTTGTTGTACTACAGATTCCAGGTTTTTTTAAGTGCTTTGTGAGAGGCAGGGAAGAAAATGAGTGACATTAAAAATTTAAAAACACAGTCATTTGGAGGGGAAGGAATACAGAGAAGTTTCTAACTTTAAGTTTATACTAAGGCCTTTTGAGTTATAAAATGCTGAGCTGTTGCTGACACTGGAAAATCTTGAGAGGGTAGGAATATACAAAAAAAGTGACAGACAGTAAGTTTATATAGGTGTTTGTGGAATGCCTTGAATTTAAGGCATCATTTGTGCTGCTATCATTATCTTGTCATCTTTGACAAATATTGTCCAATGAATAAACAAGATTGGTAGTACATCTAAAACACATCTAGTACATCTAAAGCACAATTAAAATATATGGAAATAGAAAATAAGCAGACTATGGAAGAGCAGGTGTGTGTCTATAAAAGCAAATGTTCTCTGCACGTTTTACGTTCTTAGTTTTAAGCAACAGTAATTTTTTTGTTTATTTGAAAGAAAATTAATGTTTTTAAAAATAAAGCTACTTTCATTGTCATCTGGCAATATGAAGCTGTATATATGTTTTTTAATAGATTTTTTTCCCCCTTACAGTGTTCGCACTGTTTCAACTCAGAGTAATGGCTCCCAACAGGTAAGACTTCTTAATATTAAGCTTCTAAAGCACTGGAACACTGTAGATAATTATGACAAAAACTAGTAGTATTAATTAAATTTTCATAGTGATGTAACTGGGAGAGTTTTGTGCGTTTTCCGTAAAGTGGCTCAGTCATGTGAAACCCTGTGTTATTTTATTCTGTAAGATGTAGTGACTATGCAGGCACTCTATAAAACTTCCTGTTCTTGTAAATCCTGTAAAATGAATAAAACATTAATATTCAGTTAGATTATTATCTATCTTTAAGGTGATATATAGCATTTAAGCATTTGTTTACATTATATTTGTTAACTATGTAGATAGTATTCCATTTTAATGTTCTTTTTATTGGTGAAGAGATTTTTTTATCTAGGCAAAACAGATGATTTTTATAACTTGCGTCCAAAGGCTTGGGGTGTGAGATCTACTCTGCTTGTGACGCCACCCATTCCCTCTGGTCCCATGCTGGTGGAGATAGAGAATCTTCCAAGGAGTCCTGGAACAGACCAGCATGACAGGAAATGGTTCGTTAACTCCTTAAACCAAGATAAAATATTGCTTGCTTAATGGTATTCTAAATTCCCAGCTATAATTGTAGAGTACTTTAAATATGATTGAAAACAAATTATTCATATTTGTAAGCTGAAAAGAGGCATATTATTAAGCAGCTATTGGGGTGGAGAAAATAAGAGAGATGGTTGCAGAAGCTCTGGAGTGCAGGTGTCTGATTGAAGAACATCAGACAGCTCTCCTTATTTTGGTTAGCGTGACCTGGGAGTGTGGCAGGGGCAGTTCTCTGTTAAAAAAGATTTCACTGATAGTCAATAGAACCTTTTCCCAGGTCCATAAGGAAAATATGTTTGTTACATGTTTTTCCATACAACATGGTGCTACATCTTTGGATGTGTTTTCTTCATTAAAAACTGAAGATAAAGCCAAAAGGGAAACATCATTATAGTCCAATAAATCAAATAATGCAATACTCCTGATGACAGGGAAGAGATTGCTTTTGTGTAGATTTCCAGAGTGGTGGGTTTTTTTTAGATTTGTAAGTATACAAATATGGATACTTTGTGGCTTACTGGGGTTAATCAGTGGGGTTCATTTTTCCCAATTAATTGTGTGTGGCTTGGGGGCACTTCTTGGGAATTATGTGATTGGTCATGTCAGTTGCATCATCTGTTCAAGTTTTGTGTCTATTTATGAAATGAACTTTGATAATTCATAGGATTTTTCTTTTTTTCTTGCTCTTAGTTTGTTTACTACCTGAAATCTATTGAGTTTCTGTGGTGATCTCAAGGTTTTGGTCAGCTTTCTGTGCAACCAGTTCTTCCTTCATGGTGGTGGGTCAACAGTGGTTGGTGATCATTTTCAGTCTTTCCTATGTAATTGTGTTTCATTGTTATTGGCTTAACTAACTGCAAGGTGCTTTGCTCTGAATGGTTGGGCATATTTTTACTTCAGTTCCAAATAACTTGATTAGTTTCTGAAATTGAGGGGATCTGCCTTGTTTGTTTTTTTGTTTTCTCCTTGAGAGTGTGATGGGGATTGTGTGCGTGTGCATGTTGGCACAGCACACTTAAAGTATGAATAGTGAAGCTTCTGAATGCCAAATTTTAGTCTTTATTTTTTTAAGCCATTAAAAAGAGTTTCTTCAATTTCTTACCAAGAACACAGCTCCAATAAGCAGCTATGTTTTATCTCCTTGATGTTACCACCAAGTCCTCTTGGCAAGGAAATGTGGTACTTCTGGGACTTCAACTATACAAGAACTTTTTTTTTTTTTTAAATATATCTTTATTGATTTCAGAGAGAGGAAGGTAAAGGGAGAGAGCTGAAACATCAGTGATGAGAGAGTTGTCATTGATTGGCTGCCTCCTGCACGCCCTACCAGGGATCAAGCCTGCAACCCGGGCTTGTGCCTGGACTGGGAATCGAACTGCGATCTCCTGGATCCTAGGTCAATGCTCGGCTGCTGAGCCATGCCTGTCCGGGCACAAGAACTTTCTTAATACATGCTTTCCTTTTATATTAATATGGAACGAGAGTCTGATTTGTTTGCATCCTGTATTATGACACTAAATCTTTATTGAGGTTTTCAACTTTTATGGGTATATATTTAAATCTGTTTAATTTGATTTGTTAGGCACTGCTTATTTCCTTTGGTGCAACCTTTATAAAGAGAGAAAATTGAATCTGAGCATATTGACTTAGAAGAAAAATGAAAAATTTGGAGCTGTGTGTCCTTCCTTTATGTAATTGTGCTGAGACCTCCCTTGCTAAAGTGGAGTAAAGTGGTGATGTTTAACACTTATTGAGCCTCAGTGTATGTCAACAGTGGCATGGAACTGAACACAGAACTTACATGTCTTAGAGTTAATGGATTCCCCAGCCTCAATTTAAAATGCTTTCTGCATTTCGTTCTTTGTTTCTGCATGCTTTGATTCTTACTAATACCTTTAAGTGAATAGAAAAGTCCTCCTTTAGAAAGAGATACATTAACAAAATTTGGAAATGCTCCCTAGGTTTGAACAGTTGGGCAGAATAATGGACTATTCTGTTTCTGGCAGATAACTTTTAACTAATTTAATCTAAACCTACTCCCTGTTCAAGCTCTTTAGCTTTTTCTTCCTAGTGTCTTCTAAATGACACCATTATTGCAGTGAATGATTTGGTATATCAGTAACTTAGAATTATACAGTAAGTATCACCTTTTGAGAAACAAGTTATTTAAAATCTTTAAACCATTTATAAAAACAACAAAATTGAATAATATTTGGAAAACCTTACATATACAGGGGAGAACATAAACCTAATTTAATGTCCTAAATTTTCAGAGACCCTGTATTGAGGGTCATGAATTTTATAGGTTAGATCTGATGAACAAATTGTATTTCAGTTGAAGGAAAGATGGTTTTATTGTAAAAAAAACTTTCAAGTTCTGAGAAAATCTTTTAGCCATTTTTTTTCAGTTTTCCTAAGGAAAAATGGTGAATATTCATGTTTTGGTTGAGTTAGAAAAATACTGTATTTCATTATTCTTAGATATCTTTCATAATTGGAGTGATTTTTTTTTCCCTTTGTAGTTATCCTAAATATATGCTGCCATTTTTACTGTCATAAAACCTTGATTTTCTGAACCTTGGCATATGTTTTCTTTCTACTGGAGGACTCTGATAATGTCTAACCGGGAACTGCTTGTATGCATGTTTTACTCATAGATTTGTAGGCCTATTCTATAGTGCTGTGTGTAAAAGGCATCTAATATGCTTATTAAACTATTTCTGGGAGGGGTCTTACAATCTCATTACATTATCTGTACCTGTTGAATTTCATTCTGCGCTCCTGTGAACTTTGATTATAGAAGGAGTAGTGGTTCTCTATTGTTAATTGGGAGCATGGGTGTAAAATTACATGGCCTCTGGGCATAGATTAAAAAAAAAAAAAAAAAGCTCTTTCTGAATTTTGTTTCCTGGATTTCAGCTTTGTGAAATCACTTAATTTGGGGAATAATTTCCACAATTGCCCTTTTTTATATGTGTCTTTGTCCTTATGTAGAATTGTCCTATTAATTGTCCCATTAAGTTGATTATAAATATTTTTTCTTCTCATTAGAACCTCAAACAGCATTTCTGCCTTGATTTTGGTAGCAACATCAAGGACAGATGCAGCGTTTCTTGCTCTCTTTGAAATTTCCTCTTTATTTAATTTACTTAACAGACTGATTACTGATACATATTTTCATATTGACATTTTCCATTATGTGTAACTTTGTGGGATTTCCTCACCTTTGTTATTCTTGAATGTGCTTGCATGGAGATGTCGGTAACTGCTGTACAGTGGTGCATGCCAGTCATTCTGCTTTATTACCTCTTACACATCAGTTTTCTCCTATTCTGTTGACTAACTGTGCTCCCCTCCCACTCCCCAACCATCCAGGCTCTCTGCTGCCAGTGACTGCTGTCAACGTGGTGGAAACCAGTGGAACACAAGGGCCTTGTCCCCGCCCCAGCCTGTACATAGAAACTACACTGAGTTTGTCCATGAGCACAATGTGAAGAGTGCAGGAGTCCATCATGATGTTCATTTTCCTGGCCATGCAGCCGTGACTGATATATGAGTGTTAAGCCTCTTAGACATTGGGACTCTCTGTCCTGCAGGATGATGGTGTCTGTTCTCTAGTGTTTATAGAGGATTGGTCACATTAGGAGAATTTGGGAGAAGTTATTTTATATTGAGTCACTAGTCATGTGGTGGTGTTTGTAATGGAATTCTGTGAAAGGGGAAAGGATCTGAAGAAGTTAATGCCATCAGTGATAATGACAAATGTTTTTGTGTTGAAAGGGTATGTATATCACTGTAATTTGGGGAAGGTGTTTCATGATTTTAACATGTTAACATATTACTCATAAGATGTCCAGGATGTTTGTGTTTATGAACATGCTACCCATTTCTACTCCACCCCATGCCATCCAAATAGATTAAGGTTAAAAGAATTGGACACATTAAAAACACACAGAAGGAAGCTTGTCCTGGCACAATATATCAGTCTTTAGTGATATTTTTTCTAAAGTGACTGTGACCCATGTCTTAATTTCAGTTAAGTGCCCAAGATTTTATACTTTTAATTAATATAATGTTTTTATTAAAAACATTTATTTTCAAATAAATACAAGTATTTTTTTAATTTACCAAAAGTTCTAGAAATCACAATAATGTGACACGTGTAGAGAGATAAATCTGAATGGTTACTTTTGCATGATTAGTTAACCAGTGGTTAACTGAATGGTTCCATTACTACTGAATGGTTGTACAAAATGAAAAATGTATTTACTTTTGTCTTTTCAGTTCTCTCTTTTATCTCATGCATCTGAGAGGTTTCCCAAGTTTGCAACAGCTTCATAATCTGGCCCTCTGCAACTTTAAAATAAAATCCTGAAGCCAAAATTATATCACTTTTAAGTGGATTGGATATATTACTATTTTTGGCCCTTATGAACTTCAAAATGTAATTATTCAAGCTCTTTGGTATAATTCATAGAGGCATATTAGCAGAAAAAAGTACATTTCTAATGTAATGGGAACTGATGTAAGGGAAACATTTTTGGTTTTTTACAGTTTTTAAAAAATTTAACAAAATTTTCAAACTTTTAAACTATGTATATAGTAATTTGAAGATATATTATAATTTGAGAATTTATAATGCCTCAAGACAATAAAGCTTCATTATAAACAGTTTACCATCCTGCTCACCTCAGAGGTCAGTCCTACTCCTCTCTGCTAGATAAAGATAAAGGTGTCACAGGCTTTATTAGTGGACTGTTAGTTGCAAATATAACTTATTAATAGAAGACATAAGTTAGCAGAACTAAATAATGTTTAGGTAATGAAAGTTTTAGGCAGGTTTCAATCTGTGAGTTTATCATGATTATATATATCGCTTGGATGCTCCAAGTATTCTTTTTAAAAAAAATATGTCTTTATTGATTTCAGAGAGAGGAAGGGAGATGGAGAGAGAGATAGA